TGGGAGAATTCCTGCAGGAGAGGGCACTGGGAGAATTCCTGGAGGAGAGGGCACTGGGATGTGGGAGAATTCCTGGAGGAGAGGGCACTGGGATGTGGGAGAATTCCTGCAGGAGAGGGCACTGGGGTGTGGGAGGATTCCTCCAGGAAGGGCACTGGGATGTGGGAGAATTCCTGCAGGAGAGGGCACTGGGAGAATTCCTGGAGGAGAGGGCACTGGGAGAATTCTTGCAGGAGAGGGCACTGGGAGAATTCCTGGAGGAGAGGGCACTGGGATGTGGGAGAATTCCTGGAGGAGAGGGCACTGAGAGAATTCCTGGAGAAGAGGGCACTGGGATGTGGGAGAATTCCTGGAAGAGAGGGCACTGGGATGTGGGAGAATTCCTGGAAGAGAGGGCACTGAGAGAATTCCTGGAGGAGAGGGCACTGGGATGTGGGAGAATTCCTGGAGGAGAGGGCACTGGGAGAATTCCTGCAGGAGAGGGCACTGGGGTGTGGGAGGATTCCTCCAGGAAGGGCACTGGGATGTGGGAGAATTCCTGGAGGAGAGGGCACTGGGGTGTGGGAGAATTCCTGGAGAAAGGAGAGGGAACAGGGATCTGGGAGAATCCCTGTAGGAGAGGGAACAGGGATCTGGGAGAATCCCTGTGGGAGAGGGAACAGGGATCTGGGAGAATCCCTGTGGGAGAGGGAACAGGGATCTGGGAGAATCCCTGTAGGAGAGGGAACAGGGATCTGGGAAAATCCCTGCAGGAGAGGTAACAGGGATCTGGGAGAATCCCTGTGGGAGAGGGAACAGGGATCTGAGAGAATCCCTGCAGGAGAAGGAACAGGGATCTGGGAGAATCCCTGCAGGAGAGGGAACAGGGATCTGGGAGAATCCCTGCGGGAGAGGGAACAAGGATCTGGGGGAATCCCTGCAGGAGCGGGCACAGAGGTCTGGGAAAATCCAACCCCCCGCCCCCCAATCCCGATTTTTCCCACATCCCAGAGTTCGAGCGGAGGCAGGCCAGGCCCCTGGACGCCGCCCTGCACCGGGGGGAGGAGGAGGGAGCAGAATTCCAGCAGAAGTTGGAGGAGCCGCGGCCGCCCCCGCCCAGGGTGCGCCCGGTGCCGTCCCTGGTGCCGCGCCCGCCCCAGACCTCGCTCGTCAAGTTCGTGGGGAACATCTACACCCTCAAGTGCAGGTGGGAGCCCTCCCTGAGCCACGGGGAGCCACGGGGAGACACAGGGAGACACAGAGAGCCACAGGGATACACGGGGATACACGGGGAGCCACAGGGATGCACGGGGAGGTACAGGGAGACACAGGGAGCCACAGGGATGCACAGGGAGCCACAGGGATGCACAGGGAGCCACAGGGATGCACAGGGAGCCACAGGGATACACAAGGAGCCACAGGGATACACAGGGAGGTACAGGGATGCACGGGGAGGTACAGGGAGCCACAGGGAGACACAGGGAACCACAGGGAG